AACCGAGATCGACCACAAATACAACTATAGCCTCCACACTTCGAGGTCTAGCGTAAAGCTTCTCTCGCAAGTGTTTCCAGCTAACATCAAAATACTGATCAGATTAAGTCACATAGGGCACATATACATGAAAATTGACGAAAATAATTTTTTTTTTTTTTTTAAGAACAATTTTTTTTTTTTTTTTTTTTTTTTGAAATTCACACTCAATTTGGAAACTTAAACATGATCTTGCTCCTATTTTCAGCATGCGCGTTGAATTTAAAATGCATATAGCTTTCAGTCTGCCGATCATATCATGATGAAATGACTTGGAAAATATCCCTAACTCATGTCTCTATCACTTTCATGAAGAACACTCAGGCAGATAAAGTCATCTTAAGGCACATAATACAGCAAACATCCAAAACATGGGTGCAGTGGATAAATAAAGATATACAGCTTGACAGGTTCTCAGTGTATGCACAATAACTGAAGTTACAGACATGATATTAGTGAAATTAAAAAACCCCAAGGTAGCTAACTCAGTTCTTTACAACTTCTTTGCAGACCCCATTGGCAAATTATAACATTATCAACAAGTTTGAATATAAAACATTTAGTTTGCAAATACAGCCAGAGAATAATTTTTCGAAAATACAGCACTTTAGTAAAATAGCAACAACTTAAGCTACACGACTCCAATTCATACAAACTCAATACCTATAAAATCTACACATGGAAATATACAAATTTCATGAAGAAGACTGTTTCATAAGAACACGTTTAGGTCACCTAAACAGAGCAAATATTCAACACTTAAACAAAATCCTGGTTTCATAAAAACTGGGTGTACATCCCACTTACAAAAATTATACAAAATCTACTGGAAATCCAAATCATATAAAACCAGAACCTACAGCTCGGAGTCGGAATCTAAAAGGTGGACTCGATTATAAGGGAGACACTTGGATCCCTTAAGGAGTACGAAGACGGTGATAGCCACATAACCGAGAATTGATTTCCTCTTCATCGTTGCTATTTGAAGAAAATTAAAGCAATTTTTGAAATTCTCTATAAATCAAAATTCGTATTTTTACGTGATTTTAAAAGATGCTGATCGTAACAATCACTATTTGAACTGAGGGGTTTAGTATTTATTAGATAAATGCTTATTTATTTCGTTTATTTCCGCTGCGTTTCACCCTGTATGGTATAGCGAACCTAACAGTGGTATCAGAGCCACGGTTTGCATCTTTAAAATCAGATTTTGATGTGTTTATGTTTATATGATAAACATGTTTAATTGTTAAATTATATTATTTTGTGTGTGATACAAATGTTGTATTTGATTTTAATTTGGGATTAATAATCTTAATCAAATGTTGATTAATTAATCTAAAAATTATTTTTAGATTAATTGTGGTTTTCTGGCAAGACATGTCTCTTCCTTTTGTTTGTGCAAATTAGATTTGCAAGGTGTTATTAATATGTAAATGCCACTCTTGATTTATTTGGTGAGATAGCAAATTTGATTTGCAAAGTACAATAAAAAATTAAAGAGAATAGGATTCTCTTAAATAAATAAATAAAGTTTGGCAAGTTCGGATCATGAAAGTTCATTGTTGCGGGAGAATTAGATTCTCTAGTTTAAAAAAAAAAATAAAATTGAAAGTTCATGTGGGGAGGACTTTTGCCACGGTCCACTTGCTTTGTTTTCATTTTTGTATAAAATTGATTTACTAGAAATCAATTATCTATCCCCACATGTTCTGTCACCTACCATAAATAAATAAATAAAAGGATAGTGGAGTAGACATGTTCTGTCACCTACCGTCACCCTATTGATGGGTTGTTTGTTTTTGTTAAAAGTGATGCTTTGTGGGGTATGTTGATGCGCCACACATGTTACTTTCAATATTAAAAAAATAAAAAAAATAAATATGATTTATTTAAATTTAGATTTAAAAGTTAAATCTAAATTAATTAGATTAACTATTATGAATAGAGACCTTCTCAAACGTGTTGAGGAGGAGGAAATCCACACAGCCTTCTTCAGACTTGCACCAGAAAAAGCTCCTGGAGAAGAAGGAATGAGCCCACTCTTCTACCAACATTTCTGGCCTCTTCTTAAAGTGGATTTGATTGCTGCAATTTAGAGCTTCTTCTCTTCTGGTATGGTCCTTAAATACAAGAACCAAACGCTCATTACTTTAATTCCAAATGCAAGCATCCAGACAATATAGGTCAATACAGACCTATAAGCTTATGCAGTGTGGTCTACAAAGTCATTTCCAAATTGCTAGCCCTGAGATTACAAGCCTGTTTGGACCCTTGTATCAGCCAGTGTCAATCTGTTTTCCTAAAAAACAAACAGCTACTAGATAATGTGATTATTGCTCAAGAAGTCTTTCATTTCCTAAACAGACACAGAACAGGAAGGAACTACTTCATGGCCCTTAAGCTGGATCTTATTAAGGCCTTTGATAGGGTGGAATGGACTAGCCTTAAAGGAATAATGATTAAAATGGGTTTCAATGCTTCTTTTGTTAACCTGATCATGGTTTGCTTATCTTCTACATCACTGGCTTTCAATGTGAATGGTGCTGTCACCAAGTCTATTTTCCCTTCAAGGGGGATTAGACAAGGTGACCCACTATCTCCATATGTTTTCCTTATAGTGGCTGAATTACTTTCTGCTATGATCAATCATGCTATTAACGAAGGGGTGATGTCTGACTTGAGGATATCTAGGGATGGTCCTGTACTCTCACATCTTCTATTTGCGGATGATGCACTCCTTTTCTGTAAGGCTGGGGTGGATCAAACTCAAAATCTCTTAATGATTCTTGAGAGGTTCAGACTCTTCACAGGGCAAAAAGTGAATATGGCTAAATCAACTGTCTTCTTCAGTAAAAATTGTCCCTCTACCCTCCAAATCAATATCTGTAACTAGCTACAGGGAATCACTGCTCATCAACCATCAAGATACTTAGGTCTTCCTTTAGGTGTTAGAAGATCAAAGAAGGAAGCTTTTGACCATGTTCTCAGTTCAGTGAAGTCAAAGCTAAACAGCTGGAAAAACAAACTTTTTCTACTGCTGGGAGAGAAGTACTGATCAAAGCTGTGATTAATGCCATTCCAGTCTTCACTATGGCTTGTTTCAAACTCCCTGGCATCATTATCAAAGAAATTTCAAGGATGTGTGCTACATTTTGGTGGAGCAAAGGGGAAAACTAGGAGAAAGGGCTACATTGGAGAGCTTGGGATAAATTGACAATCCCAAAGACTGAAGGTGGTTTGGGTTTTCAAGATGTGAAACTATTCAATGAGGCCCTCATCTGCAAGCAACTTTGGAGGCTCATCTCTCAACCTCATCTCTTGGTCAGCAAAGTGCTCAAAAGCAAATACTTTCCCAATTCATCCATCTTTGATGCTACAAAAAATCAGAACAATTCATGCCTCTGGAACTGCTAGCTTGAGGTGCTGCCTACCTTCACCAAAGGATTCAGAATCCTGGTGAGAAATGGAGAATCCACCAAGATCTCTGATGTCAATTGGATTCCCTCATTGAATTCTGCTAGTCCAACCCTGATGGAGTTAGCAAGAGGCCATTTAATATGGGTTGAAGAGTTAATCCACAACAATGGCAGAAGCTGGAATGATTGGCTAGTCGCCCAAGTCTTCAATGAAAAAGAAAGCAAAGCCATTCTCCAAATAAAATCCTTAAACCTTGCCAAAGAAGACATAATGTACTGGAGTCTACAGAGTAAGGGGCAATTCTCTGTTTCTTTCACTTACTCATATCTCATTAACCACAAAGTTCAGCTGATACATCCCTCAAGGCAGCTGCACAAAGAAATCTAGCACCAATGCAAGAAATAGAACTTGGAAACTGCAAGTGAGTAACAAAATCAAACACTTTCTCTGGAAATGTTGCTCTGATACCCTTCTTGTCATGACAAACCTCCTGAAAAAAGGTATAAATCTTGATAATATTTGCCCAACTTGCAGTGAAGCACCTGAGACGATTTTCCACTTAATCTTTCATTGTGCTAAGGCTAAAACATTGTGGGAAATTAGTCATGTCCAATGGGATGGCATTTGTATAGGTGGTGTTAATTTTTGTGACTGGTGGGGTCAAGTATGTGCAGTTGATACTTGACCCCACCAGTTGATATGGAATTATGAAATTAGTCTACTGTGGTGACTTTGGAAGTCACGCGACTTATGGATCTTCCAAGGAAAACACCTTGGTGCTAGAATTGGTATTATGGCAATGGAATATCTTGCTGCTTTGTCTTAGTGACTTCACTTATGTTTCTGATTTTATTTTCTTCTAGTAGTGGTTCTCTTTCCTCTGCTTTTGTAGTTGTGATTTGTATGTACTTGGATATGTCAACTAGACTAGGCTTATGCAATGGTCGTGTTGGCAATCCTAGTATTTAGTTTTGTTTCCTTACATCCCTTCACTTATGTTTCTGATTTTATTTTCTTCTAGTAGTGGTTCTCTTTCCTCTGCTTTTGTAGTTGTGATTTGTATGTACTTGGATATGTCAACTAGACTAGGCTTATGCAATGGTCGTGTTGGCAATCCTAGTATTTAGTTTTGTTTCCTTACATCCCGTATGTGGGATCTTTCTAGGCCGCTTTATAGCGAGTCCTCCCAGATTTTATTTTTCGGCTGTTGGTCGCCTCTGTATTCGAACTTTGTTCTCCATGATAATATTATCTCCCCATCGTTCCAAAATAAAAAATAAAAAATAAAAAATAAAAGGCAGTTACGTAATTTCGCCCACACATACTTGCAGGTTCATGGGCCAGCCCGGCCGGATAGTCACACCTACTTGCCGGCAGCATGGAAATGATTTACCTGTTCGAGAAAAGCCCTACTAATAATACAACAATACAAAATCAACTACTTATTTCTTGTCCAAAATGAAAAGGCAAAAAAAGAAAAAGCCCTATAAATAATACAATAATAGAGTAACAAATACTTCATCTAAATTATACTTCTCCATGAAAAATAAAAGGCCAGCGTAACACAAATTCTGCAGCACATTCCTCCACCAACTGAGCTACATCATAATTATTATGGAGTTTATACATACTAAGAGCGATTGTTAATTAAATTCCAGTGTACAGCCATGCTAGAATCTAGAGCTGCGAAGTCACTTACATAACTTACACGAAACAGGTAAGATAACTCGGAAGAATTATAAATAAGGAAAATCATTTACATTTAATACTAAGAGCCGGAAAATCCACAACCGTTGTGCAAATTACAGGGCAGAAACCAATGCAATTATTTCGATTAGTTACTTGAGGTATATAAGGTACACACATAAATTGAAGACTCATCAAGGTGGAATCTCTTCTACAGAAACGAAAAGGCAGAATCATAGCCACGAAAAAAAAAAATATGTATCCTTCATAAGAAATTGATCACGAATCCTGTGGGGTCTCGAATCTGGTGGGAGTATCGATTCCCATCATGCAACAAAGCCCCGATATCAAAATCACAAGTAAAACAATTCCCTGAAAAGTTAGAAAATCCAGAGATTTAGAGATGCACTGTGGATGCAAGGAAACCCACTATGTCATATAAACAATCCACGGAAACTGCATGAGAAAAATAAAAGATCCAAATTTCAAACATTTCAATAGTAATTTCCAAGCATCATAACTATGCGACCACTGAGTCATATTTTCCAACAAATTATAGATGCATTTGAACAAAATTTAATTTACTTACCACTAGAATTCCCTCCAACAGAGATGACTTGATCTGGCAAACTCCATCACAAGTCGTGGAGTTAGCTGATGCATTTCCCAAGCTTCCTTCAGCAAGAAATCTTTCTAACCCCTGATGTGAGAAATGACTAGCAGATCTAAATGGATCTGAAATGTAGAGAACACTGTATTTTGCATCCAATTGACTCACAGTATTCAAGAGTTGAGAAAGAACGTTGCCTGCATGAACGACCAATTAGTATTTATAGTTTAAAGAACAAAACACATAAATAATTAAATCCACTTTTAACATTGTCTTTAGAAATCTTACTCTCAGAATGTGGTTGATCCGAGTCTTCTGAACCTCCAGGGCACAACACAATCAAATCCCTATGTCCGTCAGATTTCTCAATCCTTGAATTCAAGTAGTCCTACCAGTAAACGATTTTATGACATTCAGTATGAAAAAATACAAATAACATAAATGTGTAAGACCACCAGTAATACTCACATGAACTGAGTCAATATGATCCAGTTTATCAAAGTTTTCACCCTCTACAGTGCATGCTCCAACCAAAGCAATACTGCCAATCCCAAACTCATGCTGACAAGTCTCGGCCAACTCCGAAATTAGAGAACTTTCTACGGCCACATTCTCCTCTCCAGCAGCAATGTAAGGAAATGCCAAAGAGAGATTGGAGTTCGAGAAAGAGTCCTATGGATGATGAAACCATACTTGAGTATAAACCAACATGCATTAGATGATATGATGTTGATATATATTCAAATATAACAAAACAAGGGGATTTAAACTAGTTAACCTTGAGCAAGTCGATAAGAGCAGGATTGTTATTTGAGGGTCTCGATATATCCAGTGATTGCAACTGCACAGTGGAAAAAACACGATTCAAGCTCCAGAGGAAGGAAAGGAGAGTATGTGAAACAATAACTACATCAATAATAAGCACAATGAGTAGATTAGAGTCTTCGAATATCTCAAACTATGGGTCACTAAACTGTTGTGCACTTTTGTTACCCATTAAACATTTACAGACAAGCTTAGTGAAGCATCAAGCAACAATCCATAGAAGTATTCTATTATAATCTCAAGTTCAATGTTTGCGGTCAAAAAATTGTGCATCTCGCTCATCAAGTATTTTATTTAAATGCAGATAAGTGACTCCTCAATTAGATAGTAAAACGTTTCCAATCACTGTGGTTTGGATATTGAAGTGCATAAAAGAAGTCATTCGCACATCCTTAATAATTTTCTGGAATGAATTGGCCTCCTAAAAAAGAAGTTTTCATGGACCTGACCATCTATATTAACTAAAGCATGCATGACGTGAAAAAATATCATACAGAATAACAAAAATAACAGATAATTCAGAGGGCATATTCATTTCCATTCATGTGATGTTATGCGGGGTCAGGTAGGTGTTCAATTTGTTGCAGAATAGTAACAACAATAAAATAATTATACCTGAGATCCAACAAAAAGAAATGCAAAATTCTTAGAGTGTTGAACTTCCTCCCCTGAGCACTGAAAAAACACAGACGTTTTTAGCTGAAACGACAAGAATCACAAGCCCTACGTATCTAATTACCACGCTAGTTTCAGCCGACCATCTTTTCATACTTAGTTGATCCAAAAATTCCATCTTTTCATACTTAGTTGATCCAAAAATTTAGTGAGTACTAGTATTCATTGGGAAAATTTCTATCTAGAAAACATAGAGACGGAATCAAACAGACTTTAAGGTAAGTAAAATAGGACATGAATCGGTTTATGTTTCGAACTTGAAGTGTCCATACTTCATATATTGTTATCACAATCCAAACCAGAAATTGAGATATACCAAATATTCCCGCAATCCACCATCCGTCAATGCTGACTTGACCATATCTCTTGGGGAGAGGACTCTATAATCCACCATACCTTTCTTTCTGTTACACAATGGTAATAATTATCAATAACAATCAACTCAACGAATTTAAAGAATAATAACTTACGGGCATATGATTACACAAGATTATCAGTGGCTAATCGGTTTATTAGGAGATCAGAGATAAGATTATTCGACAGTTCCATTAAATTGAACGCCCAGCCATCCATCAGTGGCTACTATTTTAATATCGTCAATCTAAACTGTCAAATACACCACTTTTTGCAGCATGTAGTACTGATACACCAGAATTCAGCCACGCTAAAAAAGAGGTAATGGACCAATAGTCGGCAACTACTCGAACAATACGAACTAAAACTAAAATTTGAAACTGGTATATCATTATTACCCATTTAAATTAGGCGACCATAGGAATGCGGGGCCCGTGGAAAAAGTGAGCGCCAAAGGCAGCTGAGCCGTCAGAACAAATAGAATCGCCGCGAATGCCATCAGAGCCTTCGCCATACTTTCTGAATGGCCGATGACCAGATTATAACCGCCCAATATCGATCAAGTGCCTAATCAAAAGTACATAAATCAAATTATTTAGGAGAAAAAGCTAATGCTGGCCGATAATTCAACAAATTTCCAGCGGGCAAAGGTGGATCTGAAAGACGATGATGGGCAGTAAAGGGATACGAGATAATGAAAGAATGAAGAGATTGAGACCCCCTTTATTCACCTGGATGTATACGATGTTTACCGACGCAAAGAAGATCAATTTTTGCAGAGCCCACGTTAATTTGTACTCGGAATCGTGCGGAACGACCGACGCAGGTGGTGGAGAGGAGGTTGGTCAGAAAATGGACACGAAAGATTGCGGGAGTCTTACTATACCGGTATTTCTCCCTATGTTTCTATTTAAACTAGTACAGAGCCCGTGCGATGCACGGGGTGCACAATTTTAAAGCTATTTATTCAGGCTTACAATTTTAAAGGCCGAGAGGCTGGATGGTCGCATGTAACGACCACTCATTTGAGGGTGGACATGTGCTCGAAGAACAATCCATCACGACTAAGGCCGAGAGGCTGGATGGTCGCATGTAACGACCACCACTCTGAGGGTGGACATGTGCCAGGAGGCATTTAAAGTCATTGGTATTCATTTAATTTATCTGGATTAGTTAAGTGAATGAATGGCGTGACTTTAAAAATCGGTCGAAATGACATCGACGCATAGAGATAACACAGGAGGAATAATGAAAATACCATACACAATGATACATTGACAGACGAATAACGTGAAATAATGAGAATTCGAAAACTTCAACAGGAATGATATTCATTTAACGCAAAAGGAGTACAATGTTCAACAGAAATTGTTGTAATAATTTTTACCGGAGTAGAATCACAAGATTCGAATACCGGGTCGTGTCTCACGAGGAAGGTTAGCCGGAATACTTAGCACGTTTATTCAAGCACAGATAAAAGAGATAAAATTCCTAAACATTCTAATTCAGATGATTTGGTTTGATTATCAACTACGTAAAACTTCAAATTAAGCAAATAGAAATAGCAAAGCAAAGACGATGAACAAGCAATATTAAAGAAGCTAGGGAGTCGGGGATATCCGTTTTGGCTCGAATTGCAACTATCGGGCCAGTGATCGTTCGGTTAAATGATTCGAATAATTCACTTGTTCAGAGAATTATCCTCAATAACTCTTCGTAACAAGAGGACAGACGTGAACGGCGAATTAACGGGTCATTTAACACCTAGGCAATACCGTTACGAACAAGCCTAGTTTATACGAGCCTATTTCTATCGACTCCTCCCCTTTCGGTTCTAAAAGTCGATTGAATTGAACTAGAAGGTGTTTAACCAACTAGTCCGTTTAGCATTAACAACATCATGCAAGAACGAATCAAATTCAATCGAAATCAATTGGAAATTGAAGTGTCACCCTTCAACAATTCTCAACTTTCAAGTATGATAATTGAAACCCTATTTAAGAACAACTGGCACAAATTGAACGATCAATGAATCCCAACAATTACATACGAATCCAAAACATTAATCCCCTATCCCTAGCTTATGGATTTAGCTACTCATCATAGATTCAACATCAACATACACATCAATCCAAGCCATCATAATCATAGATAAAACAAAGAAAGAAAGCTTACGATTAAATATGAATCCAATGTCGAAAAGCAATGAACAATCCAAATCCTAAAGCTTACTCTTGGTGTTTTCACATTCCAAGATCAATTCCAAGTGAAAGATAAGAGAAAACTGAGTTCTTGGGTGAAAAAGTACGAGAGAATGATAAAACCTAGGTTGAACGTCCTCAAAAACTGATCAAAAATCCGAAATAAAAATCTGCTCGTCGCGACTCCCGCGGCCACGACTTCCTCCTCCGCGGCCGCGGTGAAGAAATCCCGAGGCCGCGACCATCTCCGAGGCCGCGAGCTCATCTGGCCTGTTTAGGGATGTTTTGGGACCCTCGCGGCCGCGACTTCTCCTCTCCGCGGCCGCGGTGAAGGAAACTGGGCAGCTGCGCGCTACTTTACGTTTCGAACTCGTTTGGGCTCGTCCGAACTCGGAATTGAGTTCCGTTTTTTGCCATGCGTCACCAACGAACCCATCTATCCAGTTATGCTCTCAAAACCAACTTTTCCTGAAGATAAAATTCGCCCAAAGCTCCTGACCTACACACAAAAAAATGACAAAACACAAAAGAAAACCGGAAAAACAAACGAAAAACACCTAAGGACTCAAGATGAAGGAAAACACATAATAAAACACGAAACGGACTAAAAACTAAAGAAACGACCTAAAATGGGGAAAAAGAAAGATAAAATAAACACGAAAAACGCAACAAAAATGAGACAAACAACTCCCCCACACTAAGACCTTTGTTCGTCCCGAACAAAAAGAAAAGAAAAGACACGAAAGCAAGCAAATGAGCATGGATAACAGCTTCAAATAAGACAAGCATCAAATTAATCAACTTAGCCGAGGAGACTTCCAATGACCAATATAGCACACCTCAATTACACTCTAATGCAACATTTTGAGAACACAGACGCTCAAGCATGATAATATCGAACATATATATGCCTCACTCTGCTTCTTTGATAAATATGAAGTGGATACGCTCAAATTGGTCGATCATCATGCATCAACATAAGCTTCCTTATCGTCTATTCATACTCTAAAATAATCAAAAATCATGAAGTGCAAATCAAGAGGACTTCTGGGTTGTAATGTAGGTATCAAAGGAAGGACAAATAAGAAGATAAAGTGGCTCAAATAAACAGTCACACTCTTGAGCACATAAATACTCGAATATCCCACCACTTATCCGTAATCAACAAGAAACTAATCATTCCCACCAAAAACTCCATACACTACTCACACATGCTCAAGCTGAAATGCAAATTAAGTACTTAGTTTTTTTTTTTGTGAATTTCGACAAGTAAGCGGAGTAAAATCCTTTAGTCCGTCTTGCGAGTCTCCTTTTTTTCTTTTGTTTGTTTTTTTTTTATTATTTTTTTTTTGCAGGCACTCAAAATGCAACTCAAGCAAGTTATAAACCTTCTCCAAACACATAGTAGAAACCCGTCATCATAACAATTGCACTTTTAAATCTCAAGAAATTCAATCAATTCGGTCGACAAGAAACAAGGTTCAAGGCTCAACGGGCTACTAATGAAAATATATGTTCAAGGTCAATGAAAAGGCTAAAACGAGCAATGTCAAGGAAATGCCTCAATCATTTTCACAAATCACAACTTTAATCACTTCATTTCAAAACAGACTCAAAGCAAGTTCTGATCAACACAAATTTCGACCAATGACTCTCAAGAAACAACATAAGGCTCAAACCTCACATCAGGTAAATAAGTGTCCAACAAAACGACACATCAAGTTCATCAAAGCATATTGGTCATGATCATCATCACATCTCCTCAACGTCATCAATAATCATCAACGAATCTCAAAATTCACCATAATCCATACTAAAAAACACACAGCTGACTCAAGATAGGACACTAAAATAAAAACAGAAAATGAAACCAACCTAAAAGAACTAGACCTGGTCAACCACATAAGCCACATAATCATGTAAAAACTCCCCCACACTTAAAACCGAACAATGTCCCCATTGTCGATCATCAGTGCAAGGAAAGTTTACCCATATAATCAACCAACATAAAAAAAAAAAAAAAAAAAAAACTAAACCAAATACGAAAAATAAAGAGAAGGGAAAAGATACAAACGTACAGGGCACAGTGACTAGACTAGTCACTGTGAATCCGGTGGTGCAGTGGCAGTTGGAGGTAGTCAGGCCCCGAACAGCGGTGGGCCTTTGTCAACTCAAATCTCTCGCCCCATTCAGATCGGGGCAGCTCCTTCGAAGTCAGCTGGGGAGGGATAGTGGCTCGGTCAGAATGGTACTCCGTTTGGACATGGACACGGTCCTGCAATGATCTCTTCGCGTGTTCCCGCACACACGCGCCCTCAGTGAGCTGTTCAATCGCCCTGAGGTAAGCACAGTCTTCCACAACATTTGCCTGCGGCTCAGGCTGGGTCTCTCGAACGGAGATGGTGATGGACTCGGTCAACACTGTCATGCTCGCCGTCCCCTTCCTCACATCAATAACAGTACTAGTGGTCGCCATGAAGGGTCGTCCAAGGAGAATGGAGTGTTGTTTTCTATTTGCTTCCACGTTCCCCACATCGAGCACTACGAAGTCCACGGGGACTATCAACTTTCCTATTCGAACAAGCACATCCTCCACGATCCCTTCTGGTCGACGGTATGAGCGATCAGCCAGCTGTAGGCGCATGCCGGTGGGCTTCAACTTTCCTAGCCCGAGTCGGTGGTAAACTGCAAGTGGCATGAGGTTAATGTCTGCTCCAAGATCAAGCAATCCCGATGTCTCTTCCCCATTCCCGAAGGCCATAGTGATCACGAAGCCTCCGGGATCCTTTTCTTTCTTCGGCAAGTCATGCTGGAAGACACTCGCCGCCTCACAAATTATCACCTCATCATCATTGTCGAACCGCTTCTTGCTCGTGGCCACTTCCTTGAAGAATCGTGCATGGGCCGGTATTTTCTTCAACACCTCGGGAGGAGATAAGTCGACATTGGCCTTGGCCAACATCGCATGAAGGTCCCGAGTTATAGTGCGGTCCTTCTCCTCCAATAGTCGGCTCGGGAAAGGAATCTTCGGTCGGTAAGGGTTCGGGGATCTGTGTAAAGTAGGCTCGGGTGGTGGTGTCACTGGAGCTTCTTCTGTCCTCCCTCGCTCATTTGGGCCCTCTTTTTCTTCTTTCACCTCTTCGGGCATAATCACGGTTACTGCATTTGCATGCTCCGGCTGGCTTGGTAGCTTTCCTTTATTTAGTTCAGTCTCGATGGTCCCGACCCGTGTGGCTAACTGTCCCACTTGCGTCTCGAGGCGCTTAATGGAAGCCTCGTTGTTCATGGTTCGTTGCTTGTTGTCGGCCAAAAACTGGAGGATCTTATCCAGATTCTCATCTGAGTTTGTCGGGCTCGGTCCGGCTTCTGGTGCTGGCAACCTTAACATTTCTCCCCTGTGTTGCTGCTGATGGGGAACAAAGTTAGGTTGAGGCGGCTGCTGGGAGTTGTTGTTAGACCAGGAGAAGCTTGGGTGGTTTCTCCACCCGGGGTTGTACGTGTTCGAGTAGGGGTCGTTTCCGGGCCGGTTCTGATACCCCTGTAATGCGTTAACCTCAACATTCTGCCCTCCGTAATTCGGCTCGATAGCCAACGGGCACACCTCAGAGTTGTGCCCCTGGATTCCACAGGCTCCGCACACATTCACAGCCATAGTCTGAACTGGTGAAGCT